CTGGATGAGAATATCCATCTTTGCTAAACTTGATTATTAGTAATATATTAGCAATAATTAAAGTTTTTTATTGTTAACTAATAATCAACCTATCAAAATTAGTATTGATTAGACATAATTAGTCTGTATTGTTTTTAATTAGATAATGGCTATATTAATAATAATTACTATATCTTATTATAATTAATATGTGGCCATATCCGTTAAAAAAATAGTACTACCTCCGTTTTTTAATAGATGACGCCGTTGACTTTTTCTCACATGTTTGACCATTCGTTTTATTCAAAAAATTTACGTAATTATATTTTATTTTGTCATGAGTTGTTTTATCACTTATAGTATTTTAAGTGTGATTTATATCTTATACATTTGCATAAAATTTTTGAATAAGACGAATGGTCAAACATGAGAAAAAGTCAACGGCGTCATGTATTAAAAAACGGAGGGAGTATCACCATATCCCTACAAATATATAGATGATCCATATCTTTTTAACCTTGATCACGAGCCAAATTAACACAACCTAACTGAACGAGCTGTTGCTGCGTCAAGATAGCATAGATCGAAGAAGACACGCGAGAGAAATTTTGCAGGAAATAAGTAATGAACGCACGGGCTGATACGTATACTGTGGTCAAGGTCCATTTGATGTGGATGGCACCGCCCAAAATATTGCCAGATAAATACTTCCGCTGGTTTGTTGCTGTTGCTTGTAGTCGTGTTACATACGGAATATATGGTAATGGACATGCAAAGGGTCACTACCCTTGATTAAAAAAATAGTCCATTTGATACTAATCTGAAGACGATATCAACAGTGACAGGTGGACAGTAGGCTCTCAAGGTGGAAGATATTAACACATTCATATAAATATATACTAGATCCCCGCAAAAAAAAAGATAATATCTCACATGTTGCTACCTAAACTTACATCAAATAATTTTTGGATGAGAATAGACCATTAGCATGGATGGATGAGTATGAACAAAAACAATAACAGATATTGCAATTGTGGTAGACTCGGTTAGTATGAAAAGATCTAACTTACATTATAAGAAATGATTTTTGTGAACACGTCCCCAATTTTATTACAAGCGGACTAAAATAGCATCCATATACAAAATGATTTGGACGTTGTTTCGTTAAGATCCGCATGAAAAAATATTGACTTTTGTAGACGGACCTCTTAAGATATCAGCATGCAGAACAATATCCAATCTTCTAATTTTCCCTTTTCTTTTTAGCGTCCCACCCGATTCCCTTCTTTAGTGCTCTCCCCATCTCTCAATTAGATTTTCTCACCCCAATACTCCTCTACTTCTCCCATCTTGCCTCCTGTACTTCTCCTTCCACTCCAAATGACCAAATGAGTATGGATATAATAATCGATGGGGGATGGAAGAGGCCGGACGGAGAGATTAATAGCCGTGGAAGTGAATGGGCGAAACACAATTGCCGGCTGATTACCTCTTCATCAGTTACATGCATGAAGAGTAAAAGGACAAAAAAAAATCAATGTGATGTAGTTTAACTGCCGAATGTGAAGGGACGATAATATGTGATGTAGTTTAACCACCCTTATTGTTGCTCCCCTCCTCGCCTCCGGTGACCAGAGCTCGACGAAGCACACCAGCTCTAGCCCACCACCACCACGGCCATCGTCGTCCGGAACTCGATCGTGGGCTTCAACCTCCAAGGCCTCCAGGGATAAAGGGGGAAGGTCTCTCTGCCATCGTCCTTGTAGCCACACGATTTATGGCAGCTGCTCGAGGGCAACGAGGCAGGAGGTGGCAACGAAGACAGAGAAGTCACCTCTCATGTCGCCCCCTGCTCGAGGAACGACGTAAGGGCTCATCTCGTTTGGCCTACTTTATATGTAGATATATGATTATATCATCTTTTTTTCTATTCCAAAGTAATAAGATGTAACTGTGATGAACTCCTACATCATCTATCTTAGAGCCCATCTCTTTCCTCAAGCAAGCCCTCTCTAATCCCCAGTGCCCCCTACTTTCCCTATTCTCTCTCTTTCTCCGCGTCTATGAATGGAGGAGGACGGAGAGGGACTTCACTCGAGGATATTGTGGCGGCTGAGGCGGATCGACGCGAGCTCAGCTGGCCGGGCGGAGCTCCTCCTCGTAGTCCTCCTCAACCTCGTCATCGTACTCGTACATCCCAACATCTGAGTGCGACGGTGGAGGCAGACATGACCTCTGCAGTGACCACCACCTATAACTATACTACATACCAATTTAGAGTGACATATAACTATAATAGTATAATGTTGTTAAAAGAAACACTTCTAGTTCAGCTCGTTTGTGCGGAAAAAAAGGATGTTTTGGGTAAAACGAGAACATAGCATCATGTTAGGCATAGAAAAATTTATGATGTACTATTTTAGAACACCGAAGAACTTTATTTCCTCTAATATACTGACGTGCAATCCTTTTACGTGTTGTGAAAAAACTTTAGAACACCAAAGAATTTTCTCGCTTTTTATGTTCTGCGAGGATCAAACTGATTCATGTAAAATTTACACATTCCAGATTGCCTTGATATCCAAAGTGCTTATACAATTTAGGATTATTGTCACGGATTATGTGCTCCATATCTCGAAAAATATATTATTTGAAAAAACTTTCTTCTACTGCATTGATTAAAGGCAAAATTTATTACAGGACACTCAAAAAATACGTAATTAGCTATGGGACATCACAAATACATGAATTTGCCCGAGAACACTCTAAAAAAAGTGTGGTAATCTACTACAGAGACACTGAACGCATTAAAATATAATATCCACCTGGTTGATAAGAGAGAAACCATAAAAATAACATTTTGCCCTTGTCTTCTTCTCCCTAGTCCTCCATTGATTCCCCAGTCCATCCCCGACCAGCCGACCCTAATCCCCATCACCCCATTGGTAGACGGCGGCTGGTGTGGAACCTAGAGCCGGCGCACCGCACGCAGGAGGGCAGACGGAGGATAGGAGGGGCGCAGCCGTCGGGTTCCTGCACGGTGGTGCGACATGCGGCGAGCTAGCAGCCTAGCAGGTAGTGGCAAGCCGGCCTGGGCGTAGGCGCAGCGCAGGCTGAGGCAGGGGCGCAGTAGATGCTCTGTGTGCGGTTGACGGGGTGTGGAGGAAGGAGATACTGATGGAGAAGCGGTCCTAGCCGTTCGACTTCTCCGGCGTGATCTACTACGACGTCGCAGGGAGGCGCCTGGAGCAGCCGCCGCTGCCGCGCTCGCTGCTGCGTAGCCCGCTGCTGTCGTTCGTCAAGCTCGCGGCCGACGCCGGTGGCGGCTACTAGCCGGAGACACCCCTGCTCCCGCGGGTTTGCTCTGCTTTCTTTCGGCATTTAATTTTACCAGCCAAGCTTATAGCCAGCCGCCTTCCTCTGCTTTCTTGCTGCTTTTAATTTTACCTTCTTCGTTCTGATCTTTCTTTTTCTCTCCTTTCCCTTGGTGTGTGTAGTGACTAGTGATCACTGATCAGTACTATGTTACTATGTAAAAGAGTTCTATGGAAGCTTAGCTGATGTTCTCTGGAACTAGCGCTTGTTTTACAACTATCATTTTGAACCTTTGGTCATCTAGTTGTTCATTAGTACTACCTCCGTTTTTTAATAGATGACGCCGTTGACTTTTTCTTACATGTTTGACCATTTGTGTTATTTAAAAAATTTACGTAATTATAATTTATTTTGTTATGAGTTGTTTTATCACCCATTATTTTAAGTGTGATTTATATTTTATACATTTGCATAAAATTTTTGAATAAGACGAATGGTCAAACATGCGAGAAAAAATTAACGGTGTCATCTATTAATAAAGGGAGGGAGTATCATTTACTATCTTACTACTATTTATGTCGTCGAAATCCATGGGAGCTCCGCCGCCCACTAATGTCTCGGCGACGCGCACGGGATCAGCGTGGGGCTTGGGGGTGGGGACGAGGCCGGTGCGGACGGCATGACACATGACCACGCTGTCGACTACGCCCGAGCGCTTGTCCACCATGGGCAAGACAATGGTGCTCGCTGCAAGTGAGCGTCGGAACAATCCGAAAGAAGGGAAAAGAAGATAAGGACAAAACTGTTATTTTTTTGTGATTTCTCTCTCATCAACTAGGTGGATATTATATTTTAATATGTTTAGTGTCCAATAGTAAATTACCACATTTTTACGGTGTCCCATAGCTAATTACACATTTTTTAAGTATTCTGTAGCAAATTTTGCCTGGATTAAATTACATGTTCTGAACTATTTGATAAGTTTATTTTTATAATATTTAACTATCACTATAATTAAGTTGAAATTCGTGGCAATAATCTAGTGAAAAATTTGTTTCATGGCCTTACATTACAGTTTACAGTGCTATCACAATTTTTTTTTAAGAAGGGTCTCCAATCTTGAGAACCACTGACTTTGGGTGCGAAATTTGTCTGCGTCCACTGGCTGTGCCAACTGCCAAGTAAGCCTCAATGTCTTAAATGTGCACACCTTTTCTATAGTCAGGTTGCTGCACGCTTTGGTCATCAGTCATCACATCTTCATGTACGTCAGGGGCGGATCTAGGGTAGATTAATAGGAACATATGAACAAACTAAATAAAATTATAGTCCCCTCTTATAATAAATGTATGACAGAAAATTTTAGTAGGATTTTTATGAGGTCTCCCATAGTTATATATAATATAAGTAGTGGGGTCTCGAGACCCTAGAGACCTACGGTGGATCCGCCACTGATGTACGTAATGCATACTACAAAATAGATTTATTTAGTAGTGCCCCTTTCTAGTGCTCATGATGATTAGCAGATGAAGAGGTAGTATCCAGCCTCACCTACATCTGGGGCAGAACAGTGTAAAACAATCTTAAATTAAGTACTCCGACTTAATTTAATGAACATCAACTAGTAATCATCAAAGAATGAGGACAAAGGTGTTTGCCTCAAAGCATGGCACAAAAAGTTCTCCCTTTGAATATAACAGTGGAAATTGATGCAAAATCCAATGGCATATATTCTTGGTTAATTCAAATGCATGGGGGAGATGCCTTAATTCTCAAACAATATAAATATACTGGCACACATGGTTACAAATATAAAAGAGGGTATTTTTATTGCCCATACTCCATACCGAGGCTTCTATTATTTGGGCTGTGTGCATACTAAGCTGGTGCAGAAGTTATTTCATTACATAGTGAAATAACTATTATATTACTTCATCCGTTTCAGGATATAAGACTTTCTAGTATTGCACATATTCATATAGATATTAATGAATCTAGGCTGGGTTACCCTGATACGGCTGCATAGTCATGTATCCGTATCGGATACGGCAATGGATACAGATACGCTCCGATACGTATCCCGTACGTATCCCACATATTTGCGATTTCCAAAAAAATAAATAAATCACGGTACGCCAGCGATACGCCACGACCTTCCTCCGTCTTCGCTCGCACCAGGGATACGCCGCCTCACGAGCTCCCAACCTGATGGCTGATGCCTCTCGTGCGTGCCTGGCGTTGCCGCCGGACGCCCGCTGCAGCCGTGCACATTGCTGCCGTGCGCGGGCCCACAACGTCCCCTACGCGAGACGGCAGAGCTGCCGCCGCCAGCCTGGTGGTGGCGCACCTCTTTCGCCGCCAACCTCGAGGCCAGAACTGTTGCCGGCTTGCCGCGTGACTGCGTGAGGCACTTCCTCCGACGCCGGCCGCCGGGCATAGCGGTGGCCAGTGGCAGGCTGGCAGCATCGAAGCACTGAGCAACTTTTTCTTTCTTCGCTTGACTGCCTGGCCGGGTAATCCATTATCTTCAAAAGTTTCATGCTTGAATCTGCTGTGCCTTTCTTGTTTTCCTTAGGACAAAGTACTATCGTTTTTGTTAGATACAAGTGCTAGTGCATCTAGCAATCCTAGAGGTTACTGGTTAGTGCGGCTGCTAATGTTGATGCAAAGTCAACAAGAAATATATGATTGAACTATTAATATGTGGTTTTTGGGATCTTAATCGCTTGTTAATTTGAATTGCTTATAGAAGAGAAAATTGCAGAATATTGATATGGAATCGGCTACACTGATACTAGTATTATATCACTATTTCTTTATAAAAGTTCCTTGATTTTTTTGTATTTTTAATATATATAAATGCAATTTCCTTAATTTTTTGTGTATTTTTAATATATATATATATATAAGCGTATCCCCGTATCCTTGTTTTTTGGAAAATGTCGTATCCCCGTATCGACGTATCGCGTATCCGTATCCGTATCCCCGTATCTAGGTGACGTACAATCTAGGCACATATATATGTCTAGATTCATTAACATATATATGTGTCGAAGGGTGAACTCCTCCACCAGGGAACCGTGAGGCCCCCCTTTTTTGATTCGGCCGGGGGCAGCGGGTGAGATTCGAGGACTTGGTGAGCAAAGATGTGTGATGTTGAGAGGGTTAGGCCCCTCAAAGACGATGGGACAAAAGGAGTTTATACAGGTTTGGGCCGCTATGAAGCATAACACCCTACTCCTGTGCTTGGTTGATTGAGGGTAGAACCCAAGTGCTTGATGCTGCGAGATCCAAATATGAGTTCGACTGCCAGTTCCCCCCCTCCACTACTAGGACTGGACCTCCTTTTATACCTCAAGGGGTTACCACATGGGCCCAACAACCTAACTTAGTGGAGAAGTATTACAATCTTTGTATTAGATGTATGGCTTGTCTCTTGATTTGGGAAGCCAAGTGCACGTCGTCTTGATGACGGGGCCCGTCAAATCTTGCCACCTGATACGGGGGATGCCTCTGTCAGTCACCATTTAAGGGATGAAGACTTCCAGGCTCCCGTTTTGCTTAAAATAACCCCCTTCTCGCCATGATTCACTCCTGCCGTGCCCTGGCTCCTCGGCTTTCTTTTTTCGCCGGCACCAATCTTCTCCTCTCGACTGGCACTAGGGCTCATGCGCATTTGTCGCCCCAGCCTTAGGGCGACTCGCCATCCCGTATCTTAGGCTGTGAACTTATTTCTTGTACCTATTCAGCAAACGTTGTTAGATTCTCTCGGACCCATGACCTCATGCTGCGTACCTCGCTTGCCACTGCCTTTTGTCAACCTTTATTCACGTTCTACTTGATATATCCAAACAATTATTTTCGCGTGAGTGTAAGGACTGAACTTTTCGTAGCCAACAATCTTCACTCGCGATCAAGCCAGGCTAGGGACTGTAGCCAGCCGACGGGGCCATAGCCAGCTATACTATGGAAGAGACAGCACAGGGAGCCCCGAGCGTCGACGGCACCCAGAGATGGACGCAGGGTTAGGATGGATCTAGAGATCGTAGCCCCCACACTTTTAGCAAAGAATCGTTTGAATAAATGAAGCGAATACAAATTTTTGTTTCCAAGAAGGGCAAGTGAGTGCGCGACATGTGGGTACCGCGATACCGCGAGGAAGAGACGGGCAAAAGATAATTATAAGCCATAACAACTTCACTGATAAGCATGAACAAAGAAACCTTTGGCTCGAAGAGGGCTTCCCACCCTGGGCTTCGAACCCTTTAGGAAAGCCTGTGACCACTTAGCAAACGAGGTCAGGTTCCCACGAGCCTGTGTCCTCACACTACACATTCTGTTTGCTCTTTCCTTTCGGTAGCCTCCTTCCAACCTCTATTCCTTCTAGATGGACGATTACTTTCGCGTGAGTGTGAGGACTGAACTTTTCGTAGCCAGCAATCTTCACCCACGATCAAGCCAGGCTGGGCGCCGTAGCCAGCCAATGGGGCCAAAGCCAGCCGCTACGGAAGAGCCTGTACAGAGGGCCTCAGGCGTCGACGACGCCCAGAGCTCGAACGCATGGCTAAGATAGAGCTAGAAATCATAGCCCCCACACTTTTAGCAAAGAATCGTTCATGCCGATGAGAGAGAGGTTGGGCTCTTACCACCGAGGGAGTAAAAAAATGTGCAACACGCGAGTGTCGCAAGGCCATGAGAATAGGATGGGGGAAGGATTTAAAACAAGATTTCATGCTATGTTATGCTGATGAATTGAAAATTTGAAAATATTTGAAAGGATGATTAATGCCTGAAAGATGGATGGTTCTATGCACAGATTACGGTGGCACGGTGGCGACAGGGCCTCCTTTTTGGCAACTAGCCTACAAAACCTAAGCGCGGAACGCTAGCAACGAAGAAGGGACCTCTCCGATGGAGGAGGTGACTTGTCGATTAAACAGTCATGCCGGGGCATGGTGTAAACCTGACTTCCCATCTTAGCAAGCGTGCGACCTTGTGATTTTGTAGTGTGGCCAGCGCCAGGTGATCCTGTGCACTATCTGTTTTTGGTAGGTTTTCAAATGCGTGATACCTACCTGCAAGATTCCTCCCAGGAGTGGACCGAGGCGGGCGGAAGGTTCACGAGCGAAACCCGCGCTTGGCCCTTGAGGACCATGGGGAAGAAGTTTGCCGTGACCTGGTCGTCACCCCCCGCCGCCTCTATGATCGTCATGCAGATTTGGAGGGGCTCGGAGGGGTTGGCGCCGCCATCGTACTTCTTGGTGAGGCTAGGCCGCAACTTTGGGGGCCATCGGACATTCCGAAGACTTGCCATAAAGGCTTGGCCACCAGACTTACTCGGTGGGGATATTGGGGGCCTAGCCCCCTGCCTAGGGTTGCGCGGCTCTCCTGAGGAGGCTGCGCCTTCCCCTGCATTGGCGGTGCGACGCTCATCACACCAATGCTCTAAAGAACCTCAAAAATCATGAACACGCCCCTACCTGGCGCGCCAGAAGTCGAAGGGTGAACTCCTCCACCAGGGAACGGTGAGACCCCCATTTTTTGGTTCGGTCGGGGGCAGCGGGTGAGATTCGAGGACTTGGTGAGCAAAGCTGTGTGATGTTGAGAGGGTCAGGCCCCTCAAAGACGATGAGACAAAATAAGTTTATATAGGTTCGGGCCGCTATGAAGCGTAATGCCCTACTCCTGTGCTTGGTTGATTGAGGATAGAACCCAAGTGCTTGAGGCTGCGAGACCCAAATATGAGTTTGCCTGCCAGTTCCCCCCTCCACTACTAGGCCTGGTCCTCCTTTTATACCTCAAGGAGTTACCACATGGGCCCAACAACCTAACTTATTGGAGAAGTATTACAATCTTTGCATTAGATGTATGTCTTGTCTCTTGACTTGGGAAGCCAAGTGCACGTCATCTTGTTGATGGGGCCATCAAATGTTGACGCCTGACATGGGGGATGCCCCTGTCAGTCGCCATTTAAGGGATGAAGACTTCTGGGCTCCCATTCACACAAAGAAACGGGAACCTGGGTCAATTCAGAGTGGTTGGACCAGCTCTGACCGAGATAAGAGGTTGTGAAGCCCCTCATCATTATGATGGGATGGGACGGAGCACGCCACACGCTTCTCGCTGCCTGGCTCACTGACAGGGTGGGGGTACACAACCGCCGTCCCATTGGTCATTCGACCGGTCACAGATCGGTCACAGATCGGTCACGGGGCTGTCAGATGCACAGCACGCCACATTAAACGCGGCGTGGCGCGGCTGCAAGGACCGCTCTAAATGTGGTTAGGTGGAGGGGGTCGGGGCAGCCCGACCCCAAGCTGGGAGGGGGCAGCCGCCGCTGCGCCTCGGGCTCGACCCCCCTCGGAGGGAGCCATGTGGGCTTGGGGGCGGCCCGACCCCATGCTGTGAGGGGACTGCCGCCACTGCGCCCCAGGCTCGACCCCTGTCGAGGAGAGCCACGTGGGCTTGGGGACGGCCCAACCCCAGGCTGTGAGGGGGCAGCCGTCGTTCCGCCCCGGGCTCAACCCCTCTCGGGGGGTGCCACGTGGGCTTGGGGGCGACCTCCTCCCTCTAAATGTGATACCTCGGGCCTATATCACCGACAATATGAATGTGGACAATGCTAAAAAGTCTTATAACTTAAAACAGAGGTAGTAAAAAATAGGCTTCTTTGGAACATGATAATCAATTTTAATTCCATGATATTTTTTTCAATGGAGCCCTGAGATTTGATAGAGATGTTCTTTCAAACCACTGCTTGTTCATAGTTGGATCTGTCAATATTTTTCTCAAGGACACATTATAAGATACCTACAAACAACCGGTGAAGGATACATCAACTGACTTACAGCATCCCCAGGAGCTCATCTATCCGATACTCCATCGGCATTTTGGCGTATAGGAGAAAAAAAAGGTTCCATGAGAAGCGCCATCCAATGCGCCAAAAGTGGCGGATTGCCAAACACGGAGAGAGAAATGCCAAATTTGGCGTTTATCTCTCCTCACGCCATCCCATAACTGACGCTCCCATCCGGTTCTCCCGCCCCCATCTGGATCGAGCATGAAGGGTGAAGGAAGAGGGAAGAGAGGACGCACCGGTGGCTACCTTCACTGTCCGACCACCGTCGGCCAACTGAGCCCGTGCCGCTCCCGGCATCGGCCACCTGCGCCCGCGCCGCTTCCGCCGTCGGCCACCTGCGCTTGTCCCTTGCGTCGCCTGCACATCCTCCTCCCGACCGCTCGCCTGGTCGCTTGCGTCGCCCCGCTGCCTGCGCCACCCCTCTGCCCAGCCGCTGGTGGGCATCGTGGTGGGTGGGGAGGGGAGGAAAGGGGAGGTGTGGAGAGGGAGGAAAGCGCAGAGGACGGGAGGAGGCTGTGGAGAGGAGGGCGTGGCTGGAGGTGGCCGAGGGTGCGGGCCATGCGGCCGTGCGGCCGTGCGGGATGCTGTCGCCGATGCAGTGGAGCGGAAGAGCGATGGAGAAAGGGGATCGGTCTATCCAACGTGCGGATGGAGCGGAAGGCCATTGACTTTTCTTTTCTGTTTCTTTTTTCTTTCTCACCCGATGAATCTTTTATTGCTTTTGATAGGAGAGTTAAAACAGACAATCATGTCGGTCATTATCTAAAAAAATAATCATGTCGGTAATTAACTACAGTTAAATCGAAACAAATATTAGTTAAAATCATCACAAATAAATAAGCAGTCCCTTTTAGATAAACCTTTAGATAAACCAGTAGAAATATATACTAGCTGGTAGAAGTATATAGGTAGTTAATGTTAGTGATATGCCCTAGAGGCAATCATAGAGATGATTGTATCACATACTATGTTTACATATTTATCCGATATTGTTCCTTGAAATAGATAACTCCTTATTGGTTAATGAATATGTGATTCTTTCATGAGACTTTTTATGTTGTTTGTTACTATTTCTAAAAGATCTCTGATCAAATATCATATGTGGAACAAATATGTTTATATGATCAGCACATGTATTAATTGATGATCATGTCTCATGGATCATGGTATAGAGATACCAAATTAATAATGTGTACATATGTTGGTGAACATGTTGTTGGATAGACTCAATATAAGACACTACAAGAGCCATATGTGTTGTGACATCAGTGATCTCATTGAGTATTGGTGTTGAATCCTTAGACCTAAGATTATCATGGTTCTTAACATGTGTAGTACGTAGCTTACTTAGGGACTGCTAAACTCTACTCCGTAATTGGGTAGTTATAAAAGTAGTTTTCGGGTATACTATGAAACATATAGTGGGATATGAATAATCAAGATGGGATTTGCCCCTCCTATGGAGAGATATCTTTGGGCCCCTCGATGTTTTAGATTATGGAAGTGTATGGCCATGCCAAAGGTGATTGAGGAGTCAATCACAAGTTATATAATCTATTAACAGGTTCGAGTGAATGATTGAGCTATTAGAGGATGGCACATATCTAGCCTTGAGCTTAATTGATATCGTGAGGCAAAGGGGTTCATACAAGTATACACTAGAGGTTCAGCCGATATGATCTTTATGTATGCCCGGTGGGTCAATACGTTCTGCTAGGGGCCGCTGTTAACGCGTGGACCGAAAAGGAGTTTTCGGATTACAGCCGAGTATATATGAACCTACAGGGTCGCACGCTTAATGGGCCGGAATAAGGGGATTGGATAGAGATCCAATATGAGATTAATTCGGATAGGGATCCGAATAGGAGTCCTACGGGCTTTGGAGGCCCGAGTGATGGATCCTATATATTCGTGAGGGGTGTGACCGGCGGAGGTATTTTTGCATCACGTGAGAAACCCTAGCCGTCACTTCTCTCCCCGAGCAAAACCCTAGCCGCGCGCGGGTGCTAGCACATCTGCGCGTGGTTTTCGTCCCTGTACATGTGGATACCGGTAGAGGCGCCGCTGGTTTGCGGTGCTGATCGGCGTGGGAGTACTGCGAGGAGAACGCACGAGGAGGAGAAGGTCGAGTCGGTGCGATCGACTACTTCCTCTACATCGACGCGTGCTACTTCGCGAGAGTTCCTTCGACTTCTCAGTGTCTTCTTCCGCTGCGCAGCGGGTCGAGTGGTAACGATCTATGATCTAATACTTGCATGGTTCCTAGGTTACGCGATAGAAAATTTTGATTTATGCTATCGTAGCCTACGCGTATCCCAACAGTTAAAAGATTAAAATATAGAAGAGGATGATATAGAATATGTAATTTGGATGATCTGTTGGATATGGAGGAGGAATCTTTTTATATGACAATCCAAATAAGAATATGAAGGTCTAAATTTAGACGAACTGCTGGGATGCTCTTAGGAGGTATCACCCCTTTGGAATATATGGCACTCTTGATTTGCATTGTTTTTTCATGTCCCTTAGCTAATGGAATTGAGTGCAGTGTATCAGGCGGATGAGAAATGCGTTGATCTGTTCTTGCACAGCTGTGGTGAACATTTTTCTAACTGCGATCTGATAGTAGTCTTCTAGAAGATCAAGCCCATGTGAACAATGTTTTATGATGTTTGAATGCGACAGTATTTGTAAAAAAAATAATTCAGAGCAATACAAATGGACAAAAAGAAAATTATTACCTAATGGGAACTGTCCATCTACCTAATTTCCTACACTATCTAACTAATTTAAGTGGCTATTTCCACTATTTAATTAGGGCCCCTTTAGAACACACAGGAAAAGTAAAAGAAAAGAATAGGAACAATACATTTATTTTGATACAAATATATATGAAAAAAAAGAATTACAAAATATATGAATGACCATTTTAAAACCTGCAGGAGAAACATAGAAATTTAATAAGAGATAGACTCAAAGAAAATTTTTCTAAGAAATTATAGCTATAGTTAATTTTCCTCTGAAATCTATATGCATTGAGCATAAGGGTTTCATATGATTTGGAAAGCTCAATAATCCTTTGTTTCAAAGCGATAAATAGGAAAAAATTTTATAGGATTAGAATGCTACAAAATTTCTGCTTAAGTTCTTTGTTTCAAAGGAGGCCTTAACTTCAAGGGCCTAAATACATTTTCCACTATTTCCGCAGATATTTTAAATCCTACAAGAACAATAAAGGGAAGAAATAAAGAACACCATCTTTTCTTTTGAGTAATACGCAAAAGGTATTCGTTTCTTTTCATTGCATCAAGACTTATTCTGCTACTATATTTATTTATTTAGCATAGCAGTTGGCAATGCAGGTGCAGAAGTTGCACGCTTGTGTGCTTTCCATATACCCTTAAAATGCGCCACCAAATCTGATTAACAAACGAAACCAATGACGATCACACCTACCAAACCCCAACTTCGGTACGACAAACAGCGTACAAGTTTTGATGCCTCTGTCCGTTTATTCAGTCTGAGAAGAAACTGAATTAGACATCAGGAAACCATCAGCATTCAGCAACTCCTTTCCTCAAGTAGACTTTATAGGCATGTGTTTGGTTTGGCGACGAAGTGAGATGGGTTGGGCTCATTCCTATTTTCTGGAATAGGATGGTTCTATATTTTTTTTTTGTTTGGTTAGAGGGATGGAGCGCACCCTACTTTTTGTTTGGTTTGAGAGATTAAGTGGGATGGAATGGTCCCATCACCTGTTTGGATGGAGGGATGAGGTGGGATATATATCTGAATAAAAATACTTCCTCAACTAGAATTGGTGAGGTTACCTCTCACATGAACAATACATTTTTAGCGTCCACAAAAATTTAATAAACTCTCACACAAAAAATATATTCGTAGCAGCCCCAAAAATTTAACAAAAAGATAAATATGTTGCCATATCATGCTCATGTAGCACTAATTAATCATCTCATCACAAATTACTTGCACACATCACAAATCTCTCTCTAATAGGTGCTGACAATCCTTGGAAGGCGAGGTCAGCTAGTTGCTCATCACTTAGGCTCAAGCTATAACATCGGCTACGGACATCACGAAATCTTTGAATATATTCCATAGCCGATTCCCCTTCTTGCTGCTGAACTGATATCAAATCTGAAAACTTCATCTCAACGAAACCAGCAAAGAAGTAGTCATGAAATTGGTTCTCAAGATCGGCCCATCCTCTGATGGAATTTGATGGTAATGATGAAAACCAAGTGAAAGTCGATCCAGTCAAAGAAAATGGAAAAAATCTAACTTTCAGAGCCTCTTCAGCCGATGCCTCCCCACATTGTGCTAAAAATCGGCTGATATGTTCCTTTGTAGATACATCATCTTGCCCTGAAAACATGGAGAAATCTGGAATCTTGTATCGGTGCGGAAGTGGAACTCTATTGAACCATTCAGGATATGGCTGCCGATACATATGGATCCGTTCCTTAGGTCTAAGTCCAAACTGCTCCTCTACTAATTTTGCAATTCTATCGGCCCAATCTTCTATATTCTGATGTCTTTGAGATTCTTCTGGCCGATATTGTTGATATAGCTCATCATGCTGATAATGATGTGCTTGCCCCTTGAGCCGATGATGTTGTTGTTCTTCAATCTGCCCCTCGAGCTGGCTTTTCTGAATAATTAACTCATCAACCGTTACCTTGATCAAATTTTGTAATGTATCCGCTGAAACTCCAGATTGATTAAACAATGTGCGATGAACTGCTTCATCAACTGTATCTTGAAGTATTTCAACTATCGGCTTGGGGAATCGAGCCTTCTGAGTTGGCCCTTCTGGTTTCATGATGAAACATTGAAGACAACGCATTTGAAAATCAGCTACAAACTGCTCCATCTGTTGCCTCTGTTCCTCCGTTAAATTTTCCACTGTGACCATGATCTTGGCTTTGACTTCTTCTTCAGATGTGTGGATATAAAATTCGTGGTCCCACCGGGCGTGCCAAAAATGTGTTGATGCAAAAAACACACACTGGCCTGGGAGATCTGCTTAACTCCTGCGCAGGTCCAAATCTTGATGAGATGCGGGTGTGCTAGTCAGTTTGATCCTGCAACTGATAAGATATGTAAACAGTAGATCAAATAGCCGATCGGCTGACAAGCCGATGGAGCAATCCCAGCCGATACCGATACCAGCCGATAGCGATAGGGTTTTGAGCAATCGGCTATATGTCCAATGTAGATAATGATATAAAGGCGATCGGTTGATGATAATATAATATAACAATATAATCCAGTAGAAACCAATCGGCTAAAAACATGATATAGTAGAACAAGTATTGATCCGAAGGTTAAAGCATACATCGGCTGGAGGTCCGATGTCATAAAATCCACAAGATTAGATAGATCAATGAAACCTTTGTTGTCATCGGCTAAATCCAACTTATATGTATATACAATCCTTATAAGCCGAAACAACGTCCAGATAACTTATCGGCTAACACCCCGATAAAACGCTAGCATGAACCTATCAGCTTAGCAAGACTTATATTATCAACAAGAATCTAGTAGGTTGAACCTAACCGATGCAGCACGAGATTGTATGATAATCTAATACTCGATGAGCAGATAGATCTATCTAATGTGATGGATATAACAAATCTATTTAGAACAGCATTGTGATTGTAGAGATATATCGACTAAGACAGAAGATCGGACCTAACCGAGATAGTCCCAACTAAACCAATGCGTCTCTAAACACAATGCAATTAAAGATAGAATTGAGATATCAGGTAGGCAAATATATCAACAAAACCAGCGCGATCCAAGAGATTGAAGCGATGCAGCCTTG